ACCAAAACACATTAAAGAGGGTCACCCCAACATTGGCCATGTCCTGAATAAGCGGCGGCGAAAACACTTTAAAGAGGGTCCCAACATTAAACCGAGTGCAACATTACAGTGTCCTTGACTTGGATCTCTGGGACAAGTTGGCTGATGGTTCTGCTAGGGCGCCAGATGGTTTGCCGGGGTCAACCCTTGTTTCTTGTTCCATCATTTCCCATTTTGATATCATCTTGTCTCCTTTCTTGTGGCTTGGGAACCGGATGGTGCGCCGGCAGTTTCGTCATGGTCTTCTCTTTTGCTTCCTTACCCGTAGCTTGGGAACAGGATGGTGCGCCTGCGGTCTCCCATCATTTTTTTTGTAGCGTGGGAACCGGATGGTGCCAGCAGTCTCCCCTTGTCTCCCCTCGAGGTTCTCATTATAGTTTCCTTTTATCTCGCTTTTGTGGCTTGGCAACCGGCTTGTGTGCTGGCAGCCTCCCCTGGTCTCCCGTCTTGTCTTCCATCATGTTGTCCTGTTGTCTTTCTCCTTTTAGCTTGGGAACCGGATGGTGTGCCCGGAGTCTCCCCTTGTCTCCCGTCATAATTTCTCTTGTCTTCCCTCTTGTAGCTTGGGAACTGGATGGTATGCCAGCAGTCTCCGCTTGTCACCCGCTTGTCTGCCATCACAGTCTCCCTGTCTCCCTTCCCTAGCTTGGGAAACTGGATGGTGCTTCAGTGGTCTCGCATCATCTCTTGTGTTGTATCCCATCATCATCTCCTCCTTGTCTCCCCTTTCAGTAGCCTGGGAACCGGATTGTGCGCCGCCGGTCTGTGTGGTCCCCCGGCGGTGCCAGAACACATTCTCTTCGGCTGTTTGGGGCCGATGCCGGTAGAATTTGCAGTTCAGTAATGTGCTGTGTTCCGGCGCCGTATGCCAGCATCAGTTGAAGGCCAAATGTACACCTTCATGTCGTGCAGGAACAAATGGTTTGTGTTCAATCCTGTCGCAAGCCGCGGGTTCTGATCCTGTCATGCAAACCCTACACCAGGACTGTCTGGATTGCCATGGCAATTTCCTGTTGGGTATATCTCAGAATCTCAGTGGCCATATGCCGCATGCATGTATGCCAAACATACTGCGGACATACCTTACGTTCGCATCAGTATTTTTTTCCGGTAGTTTCACTGTTTGATAATGGAAGCTACTCCGGGCCCATGTGTAAATTTACATGGTTGCGGGCTCGGTTGTAAAGAACGTGTATGTTGCAACCTGCTTTGCATCAGAAGCTGCCCAGGCTCGTCGCTCCAATGCGCTTCCAAGTCTCCCGTGCGAAATCAGTGCGCGGGACAGGTATAGCAGCCTTGTTTGACCTTCGGCATTGCAAGTTTGAATTGAGTCAAGTCGTTTAAAGCCAATGCATTGTCCCAGTCAGTGCTTTCCGTATAGAACGCTGCGGTCGTTTTCGTCAAGATTGCCAGGAGTGGCTTTGGAGATATTCCAAACTCGAAGAATGTGAAGTGGCACGCTCCATTCTGAGCGCTTGCGCTGAAATCCGCAAATCATCCAAACAGAAGTTGGCAATGTTGTGGTGTTTTAAGGTTGGGTGCATGTTGGGCCCGGGCCACACAGACATTCATTGGGCGGTTGCTTTGATTTTTGAGCCAATCGTGCGATCTCCGTTTCAGCCAGCATTCCGCAGCTGATATGTACTGCAGGCCTCGAGGGCTCGTGGCAAGATGGCGGCCAGAACATCTGTTACTGGTGCCACCCACGCTGGGGTAGTGTGCTGATGAACAATGGAGCGAAACACACAGCACATTGTAAGAACCCTCGCTGGCCATAGGTTCTTCTCGTGTTGAATTGTTGTTCAGTTGCGCGGATTCGAATCTTGTGTTCATGCCAGCTATGCTGGCCGCATATGCAGGTACAAGGCTTCCTCTTTTTCTTTGAGTCCGAGGAACCACTGCACATCGTCTATGTGCATCGAGCTCAGTGTGCTTGCTTGGCATGTTGTTTTGTCACAGAATCAAAGACTGTGCAGCTGTTGCACCCTGGCAATTGCAAGGTTGAGCCTCTCATCTATTGTCGCCGTCACGGGAGATGGTAAGGAGGCATGTAAAGAACAATTGAAAGAACAAGTTTTGCTGATCTTTCGCGATGCTCCTCTGCAGACAGGCTGCGCATAAGGATGGGGGGCTACAGTCCCTGGAGGCAAGCCTTTTGTCGAAATGTTGTCAGTTGCACGACCCTGCTTGAATCTGCTCCGGCTGCGGCACAATTTGGATCTCGTTTCTGGTTGGTAAGGAGCCCTGTCTTTTGCTTCAAGCGGTGGTGGGAGGTCGATCGGAGGCAGGGCAAAACCAGCGAGAGTCTACTCAAGTTTGACTTGAATGCACATTGACCCCTCCATCCATTTGCGTCACAAATTGCCATTTCTTGACTTCTGGCCAAACTGTGGATTGCAGCCTCAAGGCTGTCCGCCTCCGCTTTGCTGATGTGGAGGAGGCTTTGCGCTGGCAGCAACGCTTTGAGGCAGTGCATCGCACGTGTGCATTTGATCATGGAATAAATTGAAGCCTGATGGTAAGAAGTCTAGCCAAAGTAAGTTTGATGTTCTGCTTTCACGGCAACCACCCAGGGTCCTCCAGGCAAGCACGAGGAAATGAAATGAACGGTCTCATCATTGCAGCTTGAGTGTTGTGAGGCTGCCAAAGAGTCTGCAAAGACGCCGCAGCCGGAATTCTTTGTGCCCATAGCCCAACTGACATCTAGCCACTAGGTCTGTAGGCTTTGCATAATCAGAAGTTGATGCCGGCTTTTTTGTTGCGTGTTGACATAAAGCACAGTGATGATTAGGCCGACGGCCCGCTTGTGGCAGGCACTCGAGGCCCTTTATTGAAGCTACGGCTTCGGTGCTGTCTGTAGCCTTCTCTTGCATGAGGTGTGGAAGCGGGAGGCTGCGATCAACAGCAGAGACACCATCTCCAAGCTGCAACAACCTTATGGCACCAGCCAGGTGTTAAAGCTTTCAAGGTTCACAGTCGCTTAAGCCATGGTGTTTCAACGTTCATGTAAACAGAGCCAATCTAATTGAAACTTACGAGATGGAAGCAGACGAAGGCAACAGGAGTTGGGACAATGGTCACAGGCTCAGTTGCTGCTGGAACTGGCCCTTGCGCTGACAGAAGTTAAATATGTAGAGCCGATCAAACTGTTCAATTCCATTAGCCTTGGCGCATTTGCCAAGGATTTTCCCTGCTCAAGCACTACTTTTTCAGATTTGGTTGAAGCAGCGGCTGCCGGGGCCTATACTGACGCAAATCCCAGATGCCAGGTCCTGTTTATTGTCCCAGGTCAAGCCGCCTGAATTTTTTCCTGCATCGAGCCTGCTGCGCAGCTTGGCGGCAACGTTACCAAGATTTGTCTTTCATGAGAGTCCCTCTACCAAGGTAAGTGACAGAAAAGGCGGGAAAGCTTGTGGAGGGTGTTTGAGTGCCCGTCTACTTTCCCGCTTGACAGGTGCCGGCATAGTCCTTGCCTCCCTTGCAGCGCTCCATTCTTCACGCGCAGTGCAGACGCTGAAACGCAAGCGACTGCTCTGGGCCACTCTGGCATTCTTGAAACAGCTTTTCATCATGCAAATTCATGCAACTTTGTGACTGTCTGGGTCGAACTAAGCTTGTGCTCCATGCTTTTGCTTTCAGGCATTTCGAAAATTGTCGCGCTGGCGTCCAGTGGAAGGCCTTTGGTACCGAATAGAGCCATCCAAGCGAATCTCAGCAGCCTCGATCTCGATGCCTTGCTTTTCTTGACTTCAGGCTTGGAGGGGCTTCTTCGCTGTTGCGGACGTCGCTACCGCCACTCAACGCTGAGGGTCAGTTGTATCGAGGACTTGAGAATCTTGACAGCTTGACCAGTGTGCAGGTGCTTTTACACGCCTGGCTCCGGGCTTCCTCACCATCCTCACCCTCCACTTCTGTGCAAGGCCTGACATGCCGTAGCTTGGATGTCAAATCAAAGGTCTTCATCTTGCAGCCAGGTTCCTCTTTAGTGCAGGACACCAATTTCCTTTCCTTCCAGGCGTATTCATGTGGGATGAGCGGCAATCAATCATCTGGCCATCATGCAGGTATCGCTGCAAGCTGTGGCTTGGGAGGCCCGCAGCCCGGATGGTGATGCAGTCTGCTTGAGTAGGTCCTGAGGGTGGAACGTGTTTGGACCGACTGAGGCCTGGCGCCGTGCGGCGACCGCAGCAAGCCTCCAGCGACACCAGGTTGGCACCATCCAGTGACAGCACAGCGGAATGGGCGAGTGGAACCGGGGCAGGACGCCTTGGACGAGGCATTAAATACAAATCTAGAGCTGGTGCAGGACGGCTGGCGGTGCTCCTTCCCTTCTTTTCTTGCGATTGTTTGATTCTCCGGATCTGTGGCAGGATTGTCAGGAGATTGCCGTCAAAGTTGGTCTGCAGCGATTGGTCGCGACGGCCCAATCCCCAGCCGCACAAGGAAGTTAGACACGTTTGTCGCCGCGAGTCTTCAACGAGGTTGGTCGCGCCTGCCGCAGACGGAAGGCAAGAGGAGCAGCACAACATGCTATAGCTAGCTCTGTGAAGATGATCCTGAGCATTCCTGAGCTGAATGAGGCGCAAGCGTACTTGGCGCTGTGCTTCCATCACAGCAGGACAACTGGCAAAATGTGAAAAAGCCTTGCCCATCAAAGAGAACTGCATGCACTGACCTCTGACGTGGCCCAACCTTTGTGGGGGTGTCAGTGCTTTTGCATGATTTTGCAAAATTTGCATGGACGGCGTGCTGCAACCAGGGTTCAGGCGAGA